TGACTTTCCATTTCCTTCATGATCCATGGGTTTTAACCTCCATGGAGTATCCATGGGTTACCACATGGGTTAGGCCCATCATGAAGGACAATGGATCACAAGCCCACATATATAAGAATGAATGATTTACATAATCAATCCCCATATATTTAATTAGTCTCTTTTGATCACATAATTAATTCCAAATTAATTCTTGATCAATACTAATTAAATAATATGATTTCATATTAATATATTAGAACTTATAATATATTAATATAAATCATAAATAACCTTTTTCTTATTTTGTCTATCTAATTGTTCTGATGCCATGCAACCCAAATGGACCATGCTACTCTCGGGTCGAATACATACCAATCATAGTTATGGGCTTAGACATCTAATCCAACAAGTTAAGGGTGTTAGGTGTGTTTCTATTCCTAATATATCTCTCCCTGATGTTTATTACATTCCTAAACTCACTTTGAGTCTTCTGGTAGTTGGGTGTTCTTTTTTGATTCCGTCTGTGTTATACAAGACCAACACTCAGAAGGTGATTGGGATAGGCCCTAGGGTATGAGAACTTTATGTTTTGGAGGTTCTCAAAGTGTTTGTTTTTGCTGCCTCCAACATTGATTTTTCTTCTTTTCTTTTGAGTCCTTTGTCCTCTACGTTTTATCTTTGGCATTCTCATTTGGGACTTGTATCTATATCACATTTGATTTTTCTAGCATCTAGTGGTGTTTTGGGTTATTTGAAGACTTGTGATATTTTTTTATTGTAGTGGTTTGAAATTGGCAAAATTCTCTGCTTTACCTTTCTTTTAGGGAAAATAAGTGATACTTTTCAAGATTCAGAACCACTCTGATGCCACTTTGTCAAGTTCTGATGACCATTGTTAGGAAGTAATGTGGATAACAAGCAAAACTATAAGCACACAAATACACAATATTTACGTGGTTCGATCAAGGTGACCTATGTCCACGGGCAAGAGGGGAGTATTATTTTTTTCAGAGTTCTCAAACAGAGATTACAAGTACAATTACACAGAGATTCACCTATCACTCTAGAAATCAAGATACAAGACGGTGTAACCCTTGAGCAGTACCAACTTCTGAGCATCCTTTGACTATCTTGAGCATCATAGAGGACTTCATAGCATATATGGCTCATCAAGGACCAAGATGGTCCAACTTGCACCACTATGGTGCAACAAGTGTATGGATGGTGCAACAGGCTTCAACTGTGGAACAAGAACATCAAGATTGGAGCAACAACACTACCTTGGCGCAACAGGATTATACATGGCACAACAAGGCCATGCGAGGCGCAAGATCATACTCCATTGCTCCACAGGAGTACCCCATGGCGCAAGAGGGATCCTCATGGTGCAAGAGGAACCCCTCATGGCGCAAGAGGGAGCATAATGGCGGAAGAAGGAATGTCCTTGGCGCAACAACATCCTTTTTGGCCCATCCCTTCAACATATGGCGCAACAAGGTTCCCTTGTTACTCCATATCACTCCCAAGTTCTCCAATCCTCTTCAAGATGCTCCAAACCCCCTTCTATGCGATCCACTCCTTTGGCACTTGATCCGTTCCTTTGTCATACGCTCTATTCCTTTCTCAGATGATCTGTTCCTTTGTCACAAGCTCCATGAACCCCAAGTGCTCCATTGAGTTTCAAGTGCACCAAATGCTCCATGAACATGATCCAAATGCTCCATGAACATGATCTAAATGCTAGAGTCACATTTAACACTTTCATTAAAAGTATGTATTGTTCCATTTCTCCTTTTGATATTATTCATTATGATGTGTGGGGGTCTTGCACTAGTATCCGCAAAGGGTGGGTCGACCTATTATGTATTTTTATAGATGATTATACTCGTTATTCCTGGGTCTATCTTATGAAATGAAAATCTTATTTCCTTGGCATTTACAACAATTTTTGAGCTCTTTTTAAAACTCAAAATCCAGCTGTGACAAAGTGCTTCAGGTGTGACTTAGGGGTGAATATACCTCTAATGATTTTACTCAGTTACTTGATTATGATGGTACCATACACCATTCATCGTATACCGATACTCCGCAGCACAACGGTGTGGCAGAACGAAAACAATGTCATATTATTGAGGATAGCCCACTCATTGCTCTTATCTGTGCAGGTTCCTAGTGCCTTTTGGGGAGATGCAATTTTAATTGTAGTTTATGTGATTAATCCTATCTCTACTGCATTGAATTCAGGAATGTCTCATTTTGAGAAGCTATATGGTAACTTAACAGAATACTCTACTCTACGAGTCTTTGGATGTACTATTTTATTCTTCGTCCTTATGGTAAGAGGAACAAGCTATTTTGTGTATTCTTGGGGTATGGTGTTGGACAGAAAGGATATCATTGCTATGATCCTGTAACTCAGAAGTTATATGCTTCCCAACATGCCACTTTTTCAGAACATATTCCTTTCTACTTGATTCCTGCTACACCCTACAATGTAACAAAGTCACATCTTCTGTATATTGATCCTTTTAATGCAGATATAGAGGCTTGAGATTATCTATGCCGCCTGATCCTCTAGCTCATGACACGCCTAATTCTTCAGAGTGTTCCTCGTCTCCTCTGGTTCCTGAGTCTGTCCCTTCGATTGTTGAGATTGAAGACCCGCTCCACCAGCCCTCATGAGGTGTACTCGTCCTATCAAGTCTACCAAGCTTCCAAATTTTGCTTACTATACATACTCGAGATCATTTACTTCATTTTTAGCCAACATCTACCATATGTCTGAACCTACATCATATAGAGAGGTTGTATTAGACCCTCTTTGACAGAATACTATACCTGAGGAACTCACTTCTCTTTATCAGACTCATTCATGAGATTTGGTTTCTTTACCTCCTGGGAAACATGTGATTGGTTTTCGTTGGGTGTATAAGATCAAAACAAAGTCTCATGGGTCTGTTGATCGATACAAGGTCCGACTTATGGCAAAAGGGTATTCCCAACAATACAGTTTTGACTATGAGGAAACCTTTGCCCTAGTGGAAATGATGATGATAGTCCGTACTATGATTACGGTTGCATCCGTTCGACAATGGAATATCTTTCAAATGGATGTCGAGAATACCTTTTTGAATGGTGACCTCCATGAGGAGGTTTATATGTATCTTCCTCCAGGCATTAAGCACCAACCGTCTGAGGTTTTCCGACTATGCAAGGCTTTATATGGTCTCAGCAAGTACCTCGTGCTTGGTTTGAGAAATTCTCGACAGTGCTACCTCTTTCGGATTCGTCTATAGCAATCATTATTCAGCTTTGTTTATTCGATGTACGAGCGCATGTCATATTGTTTTATCCCTATATATGGATGGCATGATTATTACTAGTGTTGAACATGATGATTTTGAGTGTTTAAAGCATGATCTAGCTCTCGGTTTTTCCATGAAGGATTTGGGATTGATGTGTTATTTCTTGGGTATTGAGGTAGCTCAGTCTAAGAAAAGGTATCTTCTTTCTCAAACTAAGTATATATCTGACATGTTTACACGGATGTGTCTCTCTGACAATCAGACAGTAGATACTCCTCTTGAAACCAATGCACGGTACTCTCCTACCGATGGTGTTCCTTTATCAAATCCGAATCTTTACCGGAGTATTTTGTGAAGTTTGGTTTATTTCACAGTTACTCGCCCGAACATTGCTCATGTTGTTTATGTTATCAGTCAGTTACTGCTCCTACTTCTGTTCACTGGTGCGATGTACTCCGTATTCTGAGATATCTTCGTGGCACTCAGTTTCAAACCCTCTTGTTTGCCTTGACATCATCTCTTGAGTTGCGCGCCTATAGTGATGATGATTGCGATGATGATCTTCATGATCGTAAATCCACCACCGGATTTTGGGTGTTTCTTATAGTCCCTCCTTTCATGGAAGAGCAAGAAACATGACATTGTTTGTAGGTCTTCCACGGATGTTGAGTGTCATGCTATGGTTGTGACTACATATAAGATTATCTGGTTACGGTGGCTTCTTGTAGATATGCGGGTTCACATTTCTTCACCTACTTCCCTACATTGTGATAGCAAAAGTGCGATACATATTGCGAATAATTTGTATTTCTATTAGCGGACGAAGCACATCGAGACTGATTGTTACTTCGCCATCACTTACAGCTCGGGGCCTTATCGCTTATGTTTGTTCCATCCACCTTGCAACTTGGTGATATTTTTGTGAAGGTTTTGTCAGCGTCTCGGTTTTGTTTCTTGTCTAACAAACTCTCAATGTTTATTATTGTGCTTATTACTGTGACATTGTAAGTTTGAGGGTGGATGTTAGCCTATATATATTTATGTTAGCCCATGTTTATTATAAGCCCACTTGTTTTGGACTCCTTTTGTCTTTAGCCTTTTAGGGATAGCTAACTTTTATATTTCCCTTCTTCTTGTTTTTTGGTTTTATGCTTCCACCTTTTAGGGATAGCAAACTTTTATATTTCCCTTCTTCTTGTTTTTTGGTTTTATGCTTCCACGAAGAACCTTGTAAAATTTCCCTCTTTCAATAAGCAAACGGCTCAATTATCTAAAAGTTTTAATTCTATTTTATTAGACGTATATGTTTATATATACTGTATTTTAGTTGTGTGGTACGTTTTATTAGTTGCCCACATATTCTTAGCACATGCCCATATTTTGTATTATATAATTTTGTAATTGAATATTCGGCATTATAGGAAAATAGATTACCAACACGTTATCAGGCCTCTTTCTTTAAACCCTATTCCTGCCGATCCTTTATATTTCTTCTCTTCCCGTCGACATCTTCTTCAATTATTTTCTTCTGCTTTCACCATGGCCAATGACAATATCTATGGAATCACCAATATGAAATCTTATGTCCCTCTTATCTTGGATTTGGATCGGTTAAACTACGACTCTTGGAGAGAGCTTCTCAAAACCCACTGCATCCGTCTTTGATCATCTCGATGGCTCTAATCAGAAACCAGCTGATAGATAGAAAATGTTTTATTCCTCGAAGTGCTTTTTCATCTTTATACTGTCTACAAAGAGAAATACATAAATATTTATTTTTGGGTTGCTCATATCGATATTAGCATATATTGTTCTGCCTCAGGAACCCAAGATACATATATAAAACTAAGGACATTCATCAAATTGAATGAAACTTTTCTTGTGGAAACTTTTGACAGTGATTTTTGTTTGTCATTCAAGTGTATGATTATAACATCAAAAAATATAATGGATTCAAAAACAATTTCTAACAAAGATATAAAACAACATGGACAAGTGATCTTGTCTCACATGTTGCAAAAAGGTAGTGATCGATCAGTACTTTACAAAAATGTGTTGGCAAATAAAATTATCTATAACTTGAATTCAACATGCGCCCAAACGATTTGTGAGATCAAAGAATGTGTGCTCACTACACCGGATTGTGAGGCCACCCATTGGATGGTCATAACCAAACTCTTCTTCAGCCTGACATAATAAGTCTTGAAATGAAGGTTGGCTTAAGAAGGACACAGGAATCACAAAGCGCTTCTTTTCTTGCTCTCCAACATAGACTGCCAAATACCCTTTGGGTAGATCCATTGTTGCTGTGCGGGTTCCATTTGACAAGGACGGTTGGAAATGTTGTTTTGCTTGAATGATCCGAGGCATACGAATACCCATTTTTCTGAAGGTCGATGAACGGAGTAAAACAATGCGAGAGTATTTTCTTAGTGAAAGGTGTTGTGGATGAGTTAGAGATGAAATTATGCTGGTGCTTTGTGTTTCGACATGCTTTATATAATAGTTCATTGAAGCTACAAATTTAAAATACAGGAAATAAAAAAAAAAGGAAAGAAATGGCAGATAGAGACCTTGTTACAGATAGGCCATCATGTGCTGTGTCTTTCAACTTGCAAGAAGGTAACATATCACAACCATAAACTCAGATACAATTAAATGCACTTAAACCGATACTTTGTATACAAAAAATAATTCAAGATAGAAGAGAACATGCATGGCCAGTATTCTAAACAAAGTAAGCAGTGAAGAATAGTACACACATCATGGTCCCATGCGACATTAATAGGATGTGGATATATATTCTTCGTAACAAACACAAAAGTGTGGCTAAAATATTAAGGGTTTTGATTTATAAATGAATTATTTGTTTTGTTACTTTTTAAAGGTCAAATCATGTGACATAGCTTTTTCTTCCACCGAATGTCACTATCCCTCATTTAAATTCCTATATTATTTGGATATATAAATAAATCAAATTAAAGAGCATAACCACGATTTCTTTCAAACATTTCATCATGAAGTTGTGCTTTGACAAATTTCATTTACCATTTGCCTTTTGAAGTGAACAGAACTCCATTCCTTGAAAAATGGCCATCCTTATGCCCCAGATCGAAAAAGCAAAACAAATTCTGCGACGATCATCATCAAATGGAAGCAGCACAACAAAATCTATGGATATCCCAAAAGAATATTAAGCGATTTATCTTGGTGAGAAAGAGAAAAAGTGATTTGTGGTTCCTATATCATTGTTAAGTAGGGATGTCAACGGGGGAAAACGGGACGCAGATTGCATCCCCCGCCCCCGCCACTAAATTTTCCCTTTCCCCCACCCCCGCCCCCGAAATCACCATCCTTTCCACTCCCGCCCCCGCCCCCGAATTCCCCTTCTTACACCCGCCCCCGATTGATTTTGGGCTACCTTATTTGGGATAAAAGAAATTCTTATTTGGGCTAAAAGAGACTATTTTTTGGTTAACAAATAGTTATTTATAGCATAATTTTACATGTTACATACAACTTAAAAACATGTTTTTGTTGAATTTTTGTACGTAAAAATTATTTTATTGTTTATTATATTTATATAATTAATATATGTCAAAATATATAATTTATTAACGAGGCCCCTATGGGGGTTTCGGGGCAGGACTGCCAACCCCCGCCCCTGCGCCCGAAATTAAAACGGGGGTTAACCTTGCCCTCGCCCCCGCCCCCGTCCCCGATTCTTTTCAACAAATGCCCCCATACGGGATGAGGCCCCCACGGGATAGTGGTCCCACGGGACTTTTTGACATCAATATTGTTAAGCAAACCTATTTTTCATGAATTACTAGATCGGGCAGAGGAAGAATTTGGGTATGTTCACCTAATGGGTGGCGTCATAATCAATGTAGTGAATATATTTTCACTGATCTTACATCTCGTATTGGTGTATTATGACCGACATTCCTTGCTATTTTGTATTATAACCAACTATTAGCCGATAATTGTAGATATAATATCAAAGATATGTACATATTTTAAATTTGCTAGCTGTCATGTATATTTGTATTTTATATATTTGTATAAATACCTTGATTAATGAAATTCGGACTACTCCAAGATCTCCGATGAAGTTCTTCAACCAATCCACTTCCTTTGATGCCTCACTCGCTATGATGTACTTTGACTCACAAGTAGAATCAGACACCGTTGACTGCTTGGAACTTTTCTATGTCACCGCGCCACCATCCAATAAGAAAACCTAGCCAGATTATGAACAAAAGTTGTCAAGATCTGTTTGAAAGTTGGTATCACTATAACCAGTCACTCTCAACATATCATTGCCGCTAAGAACTAGAAGCATGTCTTCTTGTTCTTCACAAATACTTAAGAATATTCTTAACTGCAGTCCAATGGGATCTGTCAGGATTCCCCTGAAACCGACTAACCATGATTAAAGCATAAGCCACATTAGGGACAATACATCTCATAGCATACATGATAGATCCTATAGCCGAATCATATGCGACTCGACTCATGTCATCTATTTCTTCCTCAGTACTGGGACTTTGAGTCTTACTCAATTTTGACAATTTAATGAATTGGCAAATCCCCTTTCTTGGAGTTGTCCATGTTGAAACACTTTAATATTTTGTCCACGTATGCACTCTGGCTAAGTCCAATAAGACAATTCTTTCTATCCCTCAAATTTCTTATCCCAAGGATATAGATTGCTTCCCTTAGATCTTTCATAAAGAAACACTTCCCAAGCCAAGATTTCACTTCTTGCAAAGTTGGAATGTCGTTTCCTATAAGGTGTATGTCATTAACATATAACACATAGAAAGTTACTATACTCCCACTAGCTTTGACATACACACATGAATCATCCCAACTCCTAAGGAATACAAAGTATTTGAAATTCTATTGGAAGAAAAGATTTCGGATGCGAGATGCTTGTTTCAATACGAAAGTGGATTTCTCAAGCTTGCATACTCTATCAGGATACTTGGCAAGTACAAAACCTATTGACTGACTCATGTAGGCGTCATCAGTTAACTTCCCGTTTAGGAAAGCAGTTTTAACATCCATTTTCCATACCTCATAATCATAAAAGGAAGTTATGGCAAGTGTAATCCTGATTGACTTGATCTTAGCCATAGTTTAGAAGGTCTCATCATAGATAACCCATTGGGTGTGAGTAAAGCCCTTCATAACCAATCGAGACTTGAATGTTTGTACTTTCCCATATATATCGGTGTTCTTCATGAAGATTTGCAACCTACTGTCTTTCGACTGGGTTCATGATCAACCAAGTTCCATTATTAGTTATCATACATGGATTGAATATTGTTGTCCACTACCTTCTTTCATTTTGCAGCCTCAGGACCTGCCATCGCTTCTTTGTAGTTAGTAGGTTAATCTAAATCCACAAGTGTTCTATCACTGGCGATCATGTCCCCATTTGCATTTATATGAACACCATAAAACTCTGGTGGCATGACGAAGAGATAATAAATTGTCAATGGGCTCAAAAGGTGTCTCATCCTCTGGTTGAGAGCTAGTGTCATTTAAGTTTCCTTCATTATATGACTCTAGAATTTCTTCCAAATCAATAACACTCCTACTATCCTCTTTGAATATGAGATCTCTCTCAAGAAAGACTCCTTTTCAAAATACAAAGACCAGGTTCTCACTATGTTTGTAAAACAAGTATCCAAAGGAATTTTATGGGTAGCTAATGAAAATAAACTTCTCGACTATGGGCTTAAGTTTTTCAAGATTTACTCATCTTACGAGAGCTTCATAGCCCCAAACCTTGATGTGCGAGTGAGGGTATTTTCCCTGTCCACATCTCATGAGGTGTTTTGGCAAACCTTTTAGTGAGAAGAAGATTTCAGACATGGTCGGTTGTCTCTAAGGCATACCCCTAGAAAGATATTGGAAGAGATGATCGACTCATCATGGAACGAACCATATCAAGTAAGGTTCGATTACGCCATTCATCCATACCATTAAGTTGTGGTGTTCTAGGAGGAGTCAATTGTGAAACAATTCCACAATCCTTTAGATAGTCATGGAATCGATACTAAGATACTGCCTACTTCTTTCAGATCGAAGCATCTTTATCTTCCTCCCAAATTGATTCTCAACCTCGTGCTTAATATCTTTGAACCTTTCAAAAGTTTCCAATTTATGTGTGATCAATTAGATATACCCATATTTGCTATAATCATCCATAAATATCACATAGTATACATTTGCATCCTTGATAGCAGATCTGAAGGGCCCACACACATCCGTATAGATAAGGTCCAACAAGCCTTCACCTCTTTCATATGTTCTAGTGAAAGGTAATTTTGTCATCTTTCCCAAAAGAAAACAATTGAATTCATCATCTGACCTTAATTCAAATGATTCCAACACTCCATCCTTTTGGAGTTTGGCTATGAGTTTCTTGTTAATGTGCATAAGATGAAAATGCCACAAGCATGCTTTGTCAACACCATTAGACGAATCAATATGGAGTACACTATTGCCTATGTTATCAACACATATGACAGTTTTTTACACACGATTACAAGGTAAAGCTTTTGAATATAAAGCACCATTTTAATAAACCATAATTGAACCATTGTCATTATCAAATGAATATCGAAAACCTTGTCTGAACAATGCATGAAATGAAATAATGTTTCTTGCTATTTCTGATGAATAACAATAATTAATCAAATCAACCCTAACCCCACTATCAAGCATAAGCCAATACGTCCCAATCTTGGTAATAGTTGAAGAATGCCTATTCCCCATTATTAGGTTCCGCCTTCCATGCTGCACATCCTCACTTTCTTTTAGCCCCTGCATATCAGAACAAATATGAAAACCACCTCCTTTATTAAGGACCCAAGAAAGAGAAAGTTGTGTGTTATTGATTTGAATAGTGAATGTACCTGATGAGCAGCCAGATGGCTTGAGCTTCCCATCTTTCAACTCTTGAAGGCAATTTGGGCAACTTCTTCTCTAATTCCCTTTGTCGCCACAATGAAAGCAAGTTGTCTGCTTTGGATCACTAACAGCAGGAACAACAAAGTTGGGATTTGTCTTTGACCCACTTCCAAGCGCTCCAACATTTGACTTGCCCTTCCATTTTGATTGAGAGTTTCTTTTTCTCTTCTTTCCTCTGTTTTGATCAATGGCCAGAAGAAGTGCACTTGTCATAAAAGGGATATTATTTTTCTGCATTCCTGATTCAGCCGTCTCTAACAAGTTGTGGAGTTGGGCCAATGTCGTCTCCGTTTTGTTCCAATGATAAGTCAATATGAACTGATCGTAACTAGGAGGTAAGGAGTTGAGGACCATGTAAATGACCAAATCCTTGTCAAACAAAACATTGATCTTTT